AAAAAAAAAAAAGAAAGAAAAAAAAATTTATCTTTTTGGAGGTCTCATTCTGTCACCCAGGCTGGAGTGCAGTGGCACAATCATAATTCACTGCAGCCTCGAACTCCTGGGCTCAGCTGATCCTCCCGTCTCAGCCTCGACACCCAACTAATTTCTATATTTTTTTGTAGAGACAGGGTTTCAAAACCCTGGGCTCAAGCAATCCGTCTGCCTTGGCCTCCCAAAGTGCTGGGATTACAGGCATGAACCACTGCACCTGGCCTTCAAAAAAATTTTTTTTTTTAATTAGCTTGGTGTGGGAGCACCTGTGGTCTGAGCTACTGAAAAGGCTGAGGTAGGGGGACCTCTTGAGCCCAGGAGGTCAAGCCTGCAGTGAGCTGTTATTGTACCATTGCACTCCATCCTGGGTGGCAGAACAAGACCCTGTCTCAAAAAAAGAAATTAGCATAGGTTTTTAGTGAGAAGAGGTTACCTCTAACGCCCCACCATGACTCTACCCTGGGACCTCAAGGCCCACATACTTTAAAGGGGGTGCTCAGGTGTACTGGAGCTGTCCACAATCCTAAGAGCCACTGATGTTTTCACAGGTGGACTGCAAGAGCACCAAGCACCAGAATCACATATAGGACTATCACCAAGGAGAGAGACTACTGCACGGAAGACCAGACTGTGGAGAGCTGGAGAGAAGAAGGTTTCCCAGTGGGCATGAAGCTTGCTGTGCTTGGTATTTTCATCATTGTGGTGTTTGTCTACCTAACTGTGGAAAATAAGTCGTTATTTGGTTAAGTAATTCAGGAGCAAAGCAATGCTCCAAATGAGGCCTCCTACTTCAGGAAAGAACCAAAAAACTACCCTGAAGAGCAAGCCTAGCCCGCAGCCCTCCCTTGCAGGGAGCCTTCCCTTACTCTGTGCTCCTCTCACAGATCTGCATCTGGGCTCAACCAGGTGGAAGGAGCCAATGAAAGAGCCAGGCACCTGTGTTAAGAACATGATGGTTAGGAAATCCCCCAAGTCATGTCAGCTCTCATTAAAGGTGCTTCCATATTTGAGCAGGCATCAAACAAGGAAACTGTCTGGCGTTTTTCTTTCTAACTATGGTGACAAGCCACAGCTTCTAATTGTATAGCCAACTCTGGGAAACATCTAATTTACAGCAGAGGAATGTGTCTGGTTTAGCAAACACAAAGGAATGTTCAACATAATGAAAACAATTTAGAACAGGATAGCATTTTTGCCTTTGAAACTTAGCAAAGTTCTAAAAAATTACAATCTGACAAGGGAGTGTAATGACCATGGCCTCCGGGACCAGGCAGAGCTATATAGGCGCCCGGCTCATCTCTTTATTAGCACCATGAACTTGGGTGAGTTAGTTGTCCTCCTTGAGTTCCAATTTCAACTTTCGAAAATAGGGTAGAATAGGCCTCTTAAGGAGATGAAGAATTTGAGGAAATAATGTGCATAATGTACTTAGTGTGGTCCACATCTGACTTGTGGCAAGCACTCAATAAATGCTGAAGCAATGTTACACTTTGCCACAATATGGGAGGAGCTAATTCTAGATACAAAAAAGCACCAAAGGCCGGGCATGGTGACTCATGCCTGTAATCTCAGCACTTTGGGAGGCTGAGGCAAGTGGATCTCTTGAGGTCGAGGGTTCGATACCAGCGTTGCCAACATGGTGAAACCCCATCTCTACTAAAAATACAAAAAATCAGCTGGGCATGGCAGCGCATGCCTGTAGTCCCAGCTATGCGGGAGGCTGAGGCAGGAGAATTGCTTGAACCCCAGAGATGGAGGTTGCGGTGAGCCAAGATCATGCCACTGCACTCCAGCCTGGGCAAGAGAGCAAGGCTCTGTCTTAAAAATAAAAATAAAAATAAAAAGCACCAAGATACATAAGCACACAAGAAATTTACTGTAGCAATTCTTATGGTGGCTAAAACATAAAATCTACCCAAATATCCAACAGTAGGGGAATAGTTTAATAAATGGAAGTACAGCCTCCTGATAGATAATTATGCAACAGTTAAAAGTGTTAATAATGAGTACATCACAATATAGAAAATGCTTATTTTTAAAAAAGTTTTAAATAGCCTTATTGTGGAAGGTTAAGACGGTGGAATTGCTTGAGCCCAGGAGTTCAAGGCTGTAGTGAGCTGTGATCACAATACTTCACTCCAGCCTGGGCAACAGAACGACGCCCTGTCTCTTAAAAAAAAAAAAATACAGAGAGAAAGAGATAATTTTTTTTCTGAGATGGAGTTTTGCTCTTGTTGCCCATGCTGGGGTGCAATAGTGTGGTCTAGGCTCACTGAAACCTCCACCTCCTGGGTACAAGCGATTTTCCTGCCTCAGCCTCCCAAGTAGCTGGGATTACAGGTGCCCACCATCACACCCAGCTAATTTTTTTGTATTTTTAGTAGAGATGGGGTTTCACCGTGTTGGCCTGGCTGGTCTTGAACTCCTGACCTCAGGTGATACGCCCACCTAAGCCTCCTGAAGTGCTGGGATTACAGGCTTGAGCCACCATTCCCGGCCTGGAGAGATCTATTTTATATCCCATACAATTCACCTACTTAGAGTTACAATTCAACGATTTTTAGTATATTCACAGAGTTATGCAACCATTCCCACAATAAATTTTAGAATATTTTCATCACTCCAAAAAGAAATCCTTAAGGTGCTTATTTTAATGGTAAACAAAAAAGGACACAAATTTGTTGTACCATATTATCACAACTGCACAACATTGGAAGAAAATATGTCGAAATGTTAAGAGTACTTCAGTGACTGGGGCTCTAATTTTTCCCCCTATTTCTACTTTTTTATATTTTTAAAGATTTCTGTAAGCAGTGTGTATCCGTTTGCTAATGAAAGGTTGTAAATATAAATATTAATTTTAAAAAATTGCATTCTGTCTGGATGTGGTGGCTCAGCACTTTGGGAGGCTAAGGTGGGAGGATCACTTGAGGCCAGGGGTTCGAGAACAGCCTGGACAACACAGCAAGACCCTGTCTGTAAAACAAAAGGAGAAGAATAAATTTTTGAAAAATTGCATACTGTATTACGGTTTGACTGCAAGGATCATAAAACGCTAATAAGGCTGACTTAAACAAATAGGGATTCATTTTTATCTCACAGAAAGAAGTCTAGGGCCGGGCGCGATGGCTCACGCCTGTAATCCCAGCACTTTGGGAGGCCGAAGTGGGCAGATCACCTGAGGTCGGGAGTTCAAGACCAGCCCGACCAACATGGAGAAACCCTATCTCTACTAAAAATACAAAATTAACTGGGCGTGGTGGTGCATGCCTGCAATCCCAGCTACTTGGGAGGCAGAGGCAGGAGAATTGCTTGAACTCGGGAGGTGGAGGTTGCAGTGAGCTGAGATCGCACCATTGTACTCCAGCCTGGGCAACAAGAGTGAAACTCCATTTCAAAAAAAAAAAAAAAAAGTCTAGAGTTTAAGATGTTTGTTTAAAATGACCAAAAATGTCATATAATTCTGATTCAAATAAACCAACTGCAGAAAAAACTATGATCGACAAGATGTGAAACTGACCGGATTTTTGGTGGTATTCAGAGAGGTTTGGTCTGACTGAGCTGCAGCAACTGTCTTACTCCCAGGGGAAAATCAAAAGGTTAAGAGAATCCCAGACACTGGCCTGACACCTTGGAGCTACTGAACTTGCAAGAAGAATCCAGATAATGGCCATCACATTATCATTTAAGGCAGGACCTTAGGACTAACCACGTCTCTTCTACATTACATATTTCATCCTGAGCAGCAGGAGAGGCTGAGAAAGTGGGCCCTGGAGCCTCAGCAGCCTCTGTGTTAGACAGACAAGGGAAAAGAGGATTGGACATGGGACTAAGCAGAACCAACCTATGGTGGTGGCCACATGCGCTTAGAAAAGGAACTTCTGTTGTGTTGTGTTGTTTTGTTTGTTTGTTTTGAGACAAGGTCTCACTCTATTACCCAGGCTGGAGTGTGGTGGATCACTGCAACCTCCACTGCCCTGGCTCAAGCAAACCTCCCACCTCAGCCTCCTGAGTCGCTGGGACTACAAGCCCATGCCACCACACCTTGCTAATATTTTTGTATTTTTTATAGAGATGGGGTTTCGCCATGTTGTCCATGCTGGTCCCGAACTCCTGGGCCCATGTGATCCTCCCAAAGTGCTGGGTTGGCAGGTATGAGCCACTGTGCCCCACCAAAATGTCTGCTCTTAATAAAACCAAACATTATAAAAAATAAAACTCCTAGGAAGTTTCCTCCATTATTTTCAACTTTTCCCAGTTCTTTTATGTCAGAATCCTGGAATCATTTAAAGAGACTGAACAAGACAATTACTTTTGTGTCTGACCACTCAAGGTATGAGTCCCCAACCAGCAGTACCAGCATCTCAGGCTCTGTCCCGAGGACTGAGCCGGAATCTGCATTGCAACAGGATCCCAGGTGATTCCTACCCAAATCAAAGTTTGCGAAGCATTGTGGTGGCCCATCCCTATCAGATGCTATGATACAGTGATGTAATAAAAAACGCATATTTTGTCTCTGCCCCTGGTTTCTGGCACTTAGTTCCTAAAACCCTTGGAATCTCCTGAGTGGTAAGAGTGTCTTCTGTATGCTATTTGAGATGACTGGTGGCTGGGGGCCCCTAGACAGCTTCAGGATGGGGACTGATCAGCAGAAAGACCAAGGCAGGATCCCAGGGTTGGAACTTTCAGTCCCATCCCCGCAACCTCCAGGAAAGGGAGATGAGCTGGAGGTTAAGTGGATCACCAATGGCTAGTGATTTCATCAATCATGCCTCCATAACGAAGCCTCCATAAAAACCCAACAGGATTGGGTTCAGAAGCAGGTTCTGGAGAGCCGAACCTGTGGAGGTGCCTGGAGGGTGGAGTGCTGGAGAGAGCACAGAGCTCCGCGCCCCTCCGCATGCTTTGCCCTACGTGTCTCTTCCATCTTGCTGCTCATCTGTACCCTTTATTATTAAACCAATACATGCAGGGAAAGTGTTTCCCTTAGTTTTGTGAACCACCCTAGCAAATTAATCTAACCCAAGGAGAGGGTCCTGGGAACCTTGATTTATAGCTAGTTGATCAGAAGGACAGGTTACAATGTGAGGTTCGTAACTGGCATCGGAAGTGGGGGGCACTCTTCTGAGACTGAGCTCTGAACCTGTGGGATCTGATACTGTGTCCAGGAAGACGGTGTTGTGATCGAATTTAAATTATACGGCATCCTGTTGGTGTCTGATGGAGAATTTGGTGTCAGAATTGTTTGGTGTGCGGAGACAAAACCCACACATCCAGTGTCAGAAGTGTGGTGGAGAGTGAGAGTGGGAAAGACACTTTGGTTGGCAGGTGTGGTGACTCACACCTGCAATCCCAACACTTTGGGAGGCTGAGGCGGGCAGATCACTTGAGCTGAGGAGTTTGATACCAGCCTGAGCAACATGGCAAAACCCTGTCTCTATAAAAAATACAAAAATTAGCCGTGTGTGGTGGTGCGTGCCTGTGGTCTTAGCTTCTTGGAGGACTGAGGTGAGAGGATCGTTGTGCCCCAGAGGCCGAGGATGTAGGGAACCGTGATTTCAATACTACGCTCCAACCTGAGTGACAAAGTGAGATCCTGTCTCAGAAAAAAACAAAACAACAACAGAAAACCTTAACTGGAATCCCATAAGCAGTGAGTTTACCCCAACACCAGTAGAAAAAAAAAAAAAAACAACAAAAAAAAAAAAAAAAAAAAAAGCAAACAAATAAACACACACAAAAAACTTTTGTTTTTTCCCTATCTCTACTAGATGCATATATAGGAGGAGTCTCTAAAACTCAGGTCGGAGGACCAATGAGTTAAGTCTATCAGGAACCTAAGTGTAGTGGGGACGTGTTCCCTCTTGGAGAAAACCTTGTCTTAAAAGAAAAGACTCAGGGGCGGGGCACGGTGGCTCATGCCTGTAATCCCAGCACTTTGGGAGGCCGAGTCGGGCAGATCACGAGGTCAAGAGATCGAGATCATCCTGGCCAACATGGTGAAACTCCGTCTCTACTAAAAAAAATACAAAAATTAGCTGGGTGTGGTGGCACGTGCCTGTAATCCCAGCCACTTGGGAGGCTGAGGCAGGAGAATGGCTCGAACCCGGGAGGTGGAGATTGCAGTGAGCCAAGATCGTGCCACTGTACTCCAGCCTGGTCACAGAGCAAGACTCTGACTCAAAAAAAAAAAAAAAAGAAGAGACTTAAGGCATACAAGTTTGGTTCCAGGCAATGTGTCAAAATCTATACAATTGATTAGCACCCCTTGTTCCCTTGCAATAAAATGACAAAACCAGCCAGGCGTAGTGACTCACATCTGTAATTCCAGTGCTTTGGTAGGCAGAGATGAGAGGATCACTTGAGGCTGGGAGTTGAAGACCAGCCTAAGCAACATAGCAAGACTCTATGAAAGTAAAATTAACTACTCAGGAGCTGAGGCCGGAGGATTGCTTGGGCCCAGGATTTCCAGGAGGCTGCAGTGAGCTATTATTGTGCCACTGCACTCTCACTGGGTGACAGAGCAAGACCCTGTCTCTAAAAAAAAAATTTTTTTTAAATCAGTATAAGATATAGTTCCTGCTCTCAGGAAACACACAGTCTGACAGGGGAGATGGAAAAGTCAACAGACATTACGATGCTAAGTGACATCCCTTTGATGGTGGCATAGGGCACCCTGGGAGCACAAAAGAGCAACCTTCTTCGATATTGGGAGTAGACACGGGTAGCTTCCTAGAAAAAGTGGCATCACAGCTGAAACCAGAAGGATGAGTAGGACTCAGTCCAAATAAGGGAAAAGTGGGCGAGGCTAAAGGAAAAGTCTGCCAGGCGAGGGAGCAGTATTTACAAAGACTGGTACGTATGTGAGAGATAGCATGGCAGTTTTAGGGAACCATGGGAGAGTGAAGGCGGTTGGGAAGATGCGGCTGGAAAAGAAGGTGGGATTCAGATCACAGAGGGTCTTGAGGCCATAGGAAGGAAAAAATGGTCCATGCTAAAGAAAAGTTTGAACTTTAATGGAGGCCAGTGCATAAGAAAAGGAACTCTTCTAAGGACTAACAATATCTGCCTCCCTGATTGTCTTCCATGCCAGTTGCCACAGCCGCCTGCCTGAGAGCTGGAGAGGTGGGCTTCTAAGGATGGACCAAACCAAGGAGCTGTGTTCTGAATGCCCTGAGGGACTTGGGGGAGGGGAGAGGCAGATCCCTCCCCTCTTGCAGTGTATTGGCAGTAATAGATGTGGGGAGCCCAATGTGGGTGCCTTTGACAAGGGCAGCGAATGCAGCAATGCTACTGGAGCAAAAGCAGCAGAGAAGGAATGAGGAGCTGCCAGCCGGTGGCTGAGAAACTCCGGGGGACTCCCGGGAAGAACAGAACTGTGGCTGCAATTGCCCAGTGCAAATGGAGCAGGGGAATTGGGGGTGAAGGGGAACAGTTAAAACCTCTCTGCTTAGAAAACTCTAAGATTTCACTTGCCCTGTTTTGTGAGTATTTGTGATGTGACCCAAGTCTTTCATGATCCTCTTTCTTTTTTTTTTTGAGACAGAGTCTCGCTCTGTCACCCGGGCTGGAGTGCAGTGGCATGATCTCGGCTCACTGCAACCTCTGCCTCCCAGGTTCAAGTGATTCTCCTGCCTCAGCCTCCCAAGTAGCTGGGACTACAGTCATGCCCTGCTGCATTCAACTGATTTTTGTTATTTTTAGTAGAGACATGGTTTCACCATGTTGCCCTGGCTGGTCTTGATCTCCTGACCTCAGGTGATTGGCCTGCCTCGGCCTCCCAAAATGCTAGGATTACAGGTGTGAGCCACTGCATCCATGATCCTCTTTTTAAGGCTCACCTTTCTCTGGTAATTTGGGGAAAACAGGTAAATGGACTGGGGCTGACTGATGTCCCAGGATCACTGCCCCAAGCGGGCCTCTGCAGAGATCTGATACAGGCCAGGCCACTTCTCCTGTGGCTGCCCTGTCCCTGCATTCTCCACAATACAGTGACACAAGCTGTGCTACATGTAACAGGTTTTTCTGACATTTCACATGGAAGGGAAAATGTACAGGAAATTGAAATGTGGGGAGAAAAGAACCTTAACAGCAAATGCTAAATGAATCATTCCCAGAATCATAGGAAAATTAAAAGTGCTAACCCCATCAAAAGTGCATTGAAGCGGCTAGCTTTGCTTCCTGCTGCTTCAGGATTCATCCTTTTCCAAGGCCCCCACCTGTAATTCTTCAGAGTGATTCTCCACACTGAGACCACTGCACAGGTCATAGTCATATCTCCCTCCCAGCGGCTCACAATGAGGCAGACGTGCTGCCTGGATCTACATAAAGAAAGAGAAACATCTTCCGCCCTCCAAAACAGCATGCTATGCCAAGATTTCTCCTGCTTCCAATGTGCAGAATGTATTTGTTTGTTTTCAACTCTTATGCTTTGTTCTGCAGCTTCTCACGCATACCTGGGGACCTGGTACTTAAAAATCTGTCCTTACCTCAGTGCCTTCTCCAACAGCAGAGTCACTGACCCACCCCTATCCCACCTTCACTATACAAGGACCCATGGCATTGAGATTTTCTTGACCTTGGGCCAAATCAAATTCCAAGGCAGGGCTCTCTCCCTGACCAGTCTCAGCAATAGGAAGAGAATCAGCCTAGAAATTAATTCTCTTCTTGTCAAGAGCAAACTCCCAGCCAGCGAGGTGTTTTATTTTTTCAATTTCAATGACTCCTCTGCCTCCCCTATAAATCTTGGAGCTCCTTGGGTCGAGGACTGTATCTTAATCATCTCTGGGTCTCCTCTTGAAGTGATGTCTGTGCTCCCTCCAGGAAGAGCCCATTTCCATTTTGAGCGGTTTCCAACCCAAATAGACATTTCAAACCACAAAACCAAGATTTTGCCTCCTGCTTATTCCTGTGACGAGAAGTCCCTTAAATGAGCAAACTGCTGTTGAAAAGCATTCCTAGTCAACCCCATTACGTAGTGTTTAGCCTTCTAGCACACTGGCATTCCCAGGGCATCCGAAGTTCTCATTCCTGTAAATGTTGCTATTTACATCAGGGTCAATCCTGCCACCCAGCAAGGGTGTTCTCCATCCCATGGCCAAACAGTGAAGTGGAGCCCCGGCTGGAGACACAGGATTGAGCTAACTGCATGTCACACGGACACACTGGATTTCACCGGCTTGTGTTCTACAGATGGGGCTATGAGGCCAATTCTAACACATGCATGCTGTTTAAATCTCTACCCAGTCAATATTCAGGCTGGCAGATGGAAGAAATTCTTTAAGGCTCTATTTTTGTTCTTCGACATTCAAAGAAATACTGTGTTACCACCTCTTAAAAATAATTGGTTAAGTACCAAGTTATTTTCATTGCCACAGTCATAAATAAAGAAGTGCTAGACCACAATGTTCATATCTATAGTAGCTGATAATCTTACACACAAGGAAAATGATTGTTGATGTTTAGGAGGTTGCTTTTCTTGCTTTTTTTTCCTCCCGTCCTTTCCTCCCTTACCCCTACCTCCCAGCCAAGAAAAGTCTTGTTGATTAGAGTAACAAGAGGGGGCTGATTTGGAAGTCAAATTAAACTTGACTCTTTCCTTGAAGCAAGAATGTAATCTCAGGACTAAAATAAGAAAGTGCCTAACCAACTTGGCATTTTATTCTGAGGAAGATTCCCTATAGAAACTTGGATGGAAGAAAATGAAAGGGAAGCCAATTAGCCTGTGTTAAGCAATGCTAACTTTTAACAAGCTTGCTCAAGAAGAAATGAACCTATTAAGAGAGTCACCCAGGGCTTCCTTGCCGCCTCGGTGCACAGCCCAATCACGATTCCTTCTCGTTCATTTTGACAAAGCAGGTGAGTGAGGAGCAGGAAAAGAAATATGCGGAGGTGTTGCAGCAACTCGCTAATCAGCCCTGCTACAAGATCGCCAGCATTACACGGCCGCGTTCACTGAGAAATGATGGCTCCTATGAATGTTCTCGTGTGTGGGCGTCACCTACACACAACCCTGCCTAACGAATCAATCTCTGGAGAGCCAGAGGGGACTATTGGAGGTGTTGTCCATGTGGATGAGGACGGCTCCCCTCATTTCCTGGCATAGGAGACCCGTGTGACAGCTCCAGTTCCTAGAGAGCCACTGGAAAATCCTCTTTGGGTTCAAGGATTAGCTAAAAATATGTGTAGGGGAAAGGATGAGTTTGTCTTCTTCTTTTTTTTTTTTTAATTGCTACTGGGTTTTTAAAATTTGGCTCTTAGAAGGAGAATGGGTTATTAATGTTCATTACTGATCTGATTAGAGGGCAGCTCTTTTTCCCTTCCCAGATTAATGTTGTGCAACCCTTCAAATTGGCAAACAGAAAGAAAGGCACCTCTACAACGTGTATGAACAAGGATGGGTTTGCCGCTGTGAAGAACACATTGCTTTCACTGGCATTACTAGAAAAGAAAGGTGAGGGCCAGGTGCGGTGACTCACGCCTGTAATCCCAGCACTTTGGCAGGCTGAGGCGGGCAGATCATGAGGTCAGGAGATCGAGATCATCCTGGCTAACATGATGAAACCCCTGTCTCTACTAAAAATACAAAAAATTAGCCAGCTACCTGGGAGGAGATCACTTGAACCCGAGAGGTTGAGGTTGTAGTGAGCCGAGATCGCACCACTGCACTCCAGCCTGGGCAACAGAGTGAGACTCCGTCTCAAAAAAAAAAGAAAGAAAAGAAAAGAAAGGTGAGATCTGGTCTAAGAAGGGCAACATTGGGGAGAGTGTCCTGAGCTGGAGATCCAGGATCCAATCCTACCTCTGCCCCGGCTACTTATGGGAATGTAGGGCTCCCTTGGGTCCTCAGCTTCCTCATCTGTAAAATGAGCACCAGAATGATCTGAGCCAGAAACTATGCAATGAGGAAACTTGAAGGCATTATGCAAAGTGAAATAAGCCTGTCAGAAAAGGACAAATACTATATGATTCCATTTACATGAGTTACCTAGAGTAGTCAGATTCACAGAGATAAAAGCAGAACGGTGTTGCCAAGGGCTGGAGACAGTGGGGAATGGGGAATTACTGTTTAATGGGTGCAGAGTATCCATTTTGGAGAATGAAAAAAGTTCTCCGATGAATGGTGGTGATGGCTGCACAGCAGCATGGACATGCTTAGGGCCACTGAACTGTACCCTTAAAAATGGTTACAATGGGCCAGCTGGGAGCAGTGGCTCATGCCTGTAATCTCAGCACTTTGGCAGGCTGAGGTAGGTGGATCACGAGGTCAGGAGTTCAGACCAGCCTGGCTAAGATAGTGAAACCCCACCTCTACTAAAAATACAAAAAAAAAGAAAAATTAGCTGGGCATGGTGGCATATGCCTATAATCCCAGCTACTCAGGAGGCTGAGGCAGAGAACTGCTTAAACCCGGGAGGCAGAGGTTGCTGTGAGCCAAGATCATGCCACTTCACTCCAACCTGGATGACAGAGCAAGACTCTTGTCTCAAAAAAAAAAAAAAAAATGGTTACAATGTAAGTTTTGTTATGCGTATTTTACCACTATATATGTATATATTGAGATGGAGTGTCACTCTTGTTGCCCAGACTGGAGTGCAATGGTATGATCTTGGCTCACCACAGCCTCCGCCTCCTGGGTTCAAGTGATTCTCCTGCCTCAGCCTCCTGAGTAGCTGGGATTACAGGCATGGGCCACCACACCCAGCTAAATTTTTTGTATTTTTGGTAGAGATGGGGTTTCTCCTTGTTGGTCAGGCTGGTCTTGAACTCCCGACCTCAGGTGATTTGCCCACCTTGGCCTCCCAAAGTGCTGGGATTACAGGCATGAGCCACCGCGCCCAGCCTTTCACAATATATAAAAGAAACTAAGCAACTATCCACAACATTCACTCAAAGAGTATCAGGAGTCTCAAATTCAAGCACCCATGGGGATCAGGCCGTTTGTATGAGTAAGCCCACAGACTTGCATAGTGTACAGAGGAGGTCATAGTTCCCAGCCTAGCCAAGCCTTGCCATGAAGAAATGTGATTAGCTTTTTAAGAGGAAGGGAAAATTCTGGATATTTATATGAAATGGAGTCTTCCTCTGTCTCCAGGCTAGAGTTCAGTGGCGTCTTCTTGGCTCACCGCAACCTCCGCCTCCGGGGTTCAAGTGATTCTCCTGCTTCAGCCTTTCAAGTACCTGGGACTACAGGGGTGCACAGCCAGTTAATTTTTGTATTTTTAGAAGAGTCAGCGTTTCACCATGTTGGCCAGGATGATCTCAATCTCTCGACCTTGTGATCTGCCCGCCTCAGCCTCCCAAAGTTCAGGGATTATAGGTATGAGCCACCCCATCTGGCCAAAATCTCTCAATTTTTTAAATTGGCAAGTAATTCAAAATTTTTAAAAGGAGCAAACTGTGGGCAAACAAAATACATCTGCAGGTGAGATTCTGTTTTCTACGTCTATGTAGGTAACCAGTCTGTATCATCTACTTTTTATTCCTTCTTCTTTTGCCAGTATTCCCACCCCACACACCTCCCTTAAAAACAGGTTCTGGCCAAGATAACCTGTCTGAATTATCTACATTGTGTGCCTACGGGAGCCCAGCCAGAATATGCCAGCATAGGCAGGGTACACCCACCTGCAACCAGGCAGGTGCAATGGTATCAACACAGCCATCGTTCTAGAAGAGCCTATCAGAGGTCTGGGGTACACACATGCGTTTTCTAGCCCCGAGCTCACTTTTACCTTGAGAATTCCACTAGTTCTTACCATTATTTTCTTGGCTTTCTCTATGGAGGCCTACTGAAATAGTCCTCACCTCTCCCATCACACTCCTTGCCTTTGATCTCTTGATTTCTGCTTTAAAACCAGCTTCCTTACAACATCTGATGTCCACACTCACTACCATATTCAGAAGTCAGATGAGGCTGGGTGTGGTGGCTCAGGCCTGTAATCTCAGCACTTTGGAAGGCCTAGGCGGGCGGATCGCTTGAGGTCAGGTGTTTGAGATCAGCCTGGCCAACGTGGTGAAACCCAAAAAATACAAAAATTAGCCAGGTGTGGTGGCACATGCCTGTAATCCCAGCTAGTTGGGAGGCTGAGATGGGAGAACTGCTTGAACCTGGGAGGCAGAAGTTGCAGCAAGCCGAGATTTACCACTGCACTCCAGCCTGGGCGACGGAGCAAGACCCTGTCTCAANGCGTGGTGGTACGTACATGTCTGTAATGTCAGCTACCCAGGAGGCTGAGGAACAAGAATTCACTTGAACCTAGGAGGTGGAGGTTGCAATGAGTCGAGATTTACCACTGCACTCCAGCCTGGGCGACGGAGCAAGACCCTGTCTCAAAAAAAAAAAAAAAAAGAATTCAGATGCATCTTTCTTGATTTTTGACAAGTGTGTAAAATACCTCCCAATGTGTGAGCCTCTAGAGTACAAGGGTTTTATACTTTATGGGAGTAGTAGCAGCCATACAGATTCTAGAGGTCACCTGTACCGTATTTCACTTATAAGCATGATACTGAGATTTGGCAAAAGAACGTAGACAGCATTCTTCATTTGCTAGCAGCTTCATTTGCTAGGCCATTTGGAGAGGTGTAGGGAACATATCACTAATCATCTGCCAGTTCGATGCCTGCTTATACCAAATCCGGTAGCAAAAAGGAGAAACTTGAGCATTTCCTTAGGCTAGATTTTCTGCAATTAATTCCCAGTGACAGCGCAGATGTCTCTTGCTCATAAGAAGCCATCGAAAGGTTCTTTTTGATGTGCTGTGCTCTCCCTAAGTGAGGAAGCAGTAGTACTGCTTAGATAAACAGATCTGCATTCTTAGGTAACTCTGCTCTGCTGGTCATGGGAAGGCTGAGACTGTATTCAATGAGTCTTTCTGCCCAACCACCTGTGAGGTTCACTGTGGCCTTATGCCCAGCGATGCCTCATTCCATCTGCACTTTTCCCCGGATAACTACAGTTTACCTGTTTGAGATCCATGGCCATTTTTCTCCAATCATTCTGTTGGCAAGTATAGAGGGCCTACTATGTGCTAGGCACTGTGCTAGGAGCTGGGATATAGCAACAAATAAGACATTCTTCCCTTCCTCAAGAAGCTCACCAAATAGTGGGTGACGCAGAGCCATAAACAGATGATTATGACCTGTGCTCAGTGTTTGGATGGATGCAGTTTTGGTGCTCTGCCCAGATCCCCTTCCCTGATTCAGCACACCCACCCCTGCGGCATAGGGGTTGGCTGCTAACAGCTGGTGGGTGCCCCTCTCCTCCTGAGAGCTGCCCTCAAATGATGGGTGCTGCCTCTCCCGCTCTATTATACCTACCCCTGGGCAGCCCACAGCCTAAGATGGACTAATGTGGAAAAACAAAAGGCTAGCCTTGGGGACAGTGGCTCATGCTTGTCATCTCAGCACTCTGGGAGGCCAAGGCAGGAGGGTCACTTGAGGCCAGGAGTTCAAGACTAGTCTGAGCGACATAGGGAGACCTCATCTCTACAAAAAATAAACAACATCAGCCAGGTGTGGTGGTAATCCTGTAATCCCAGCTCCTTGGGAGGCTCAGGTGGGAGGATTGCTGGAGCCCGGTAAGTTGAGGCTGCAGTGAGCCAAGATTGTGACATTACACTCCAGCCTGGGTGACAGAGTGAGACCCTGATTTTTAAAAGGGGGAGCATTAAGGCAGGGAGAGGATAATTCTGCAATATTATTTATGCTCCAGAAGACCCCCCATCCACTGTGAATGAGGCCAGAGCTAGACTTTACCTGGGACCACAGATCTGTTTGGTTCCTTCAGATCCTTACAGGTCTTTCTGGAGAGTACTACTGCAATAAAGCATGTTCCTGGATCCCTGTCTGAGCCTCTGCTTCTACAAAACCCTACACATGACAGTCTTATGGAGGCAATATTTGCTGGAAATCTTCGTGAAATTTATATCTTTCTTTGAGGATATTGAATTAGATGATA